AGGATTCCTGCTATCTAGCTGAGGTCCTGTGGTTTCTCCCGTAGAACCTCTGCACTTGTGACCACGTAGGTTGCTACCCTGAGTCGCTCCAAGTTAGCTATCTAAAGCAGCTGCTGTGAATGCTTCCTATAAAAATTACCCCTCCCTCTCACTTGCTAGCGTAGAAAGTTGTTTCACCGAATACTACATAATATATATCAAAATATTAGGAATGTGTGTGTCAGAAATGGGCTAATCTTACTAAGAAAAGTGCATTTAGAATTGTACTTCCATGTGGTGGTCTCATAAAATTGTAAGCATTGTTTTTTCTGTGAATGTATCTTAACATTTTTGATGTTTTAATTTGTTCTCATCTTTTTTTTTTCTTTTTTTTTTTTTTTCTTCCCTACTCAGCTCTTGCCCCTGTTCTTTGCCTCTGGTTTTGTTGGTGAGGATATCACAGTGATGTCTGCATTCAACCTGCTGCATTTGGTGACAAAGAGCCAGCCAGTGGCCCTGCGAGCCTGTGGGCTTCCCTCAGGTTGAATGGGTGCTGCTTGTTGCGTCATGCGTAATGAAGGCCCTTTTAGGAATGGGTGTCTCTGCTGCAGGAAACTGTGTGCTATGGGTTGCTCTGGTTTGTTTAAGTTTTCCTTTGAACCAGAAGTTTGTTTGCTTTTTTTTGGTAAAAGTCACTGGCTTGGGTGAGGGTTTTCATATCCTAGGTTTGAGGATGCTTGGAAATGCTCTCCAACTTCCTTGTCCAACATATTTTTCTCTCAAATTTGACATTATTTTCCTCATTCTTTGGACAGTGGAATGAAATTGAAAATCAGTTGTGTTCGATGACATTTATGATTTTTTTTAAAAGATGCTTGACAGAATTTAGCATATGGATTGCTGTTAAATCATAGGACTTAAAAATATTTTCCAAAATCCTTAGCAGTATACACTCCATGTGTCCCTTTTTACATTTTTATTATAAAAAAAATATGTTGCACCGAAAGTGATGTCCAAAATGTGCCCAGAATTTAAAATGTAATTCTTTTATTCCTCTGACAGCATATTCTTTAGTTATGTGACGCTTCTCTAAATAAATAAATGGAAACATGCAATTTAATGCCCAGATGCAGCTGCATATTTCATATAATGTTCAGTTTCTGCCACTAGCTCTGTGAAGGGTGCCGTAAGACCCCATCTCCATTAATTGGTTATATCATGAAAACCTTGAACCTAAGAAGTATTTCATGCTTCACTTCAACAGCAACAATATATGTAATGTCTGCATAGTAACGTCAGCATGCATGGTTACGTAGGAGAAAATAAAAGCTGCACTGAGTTAATTGTGAACGTTACTAGGAATTTTCTCGACACCCAAATAAAAAAGATACAATCCTGGCTGAATCATCAAAAAAGAACCAGCGTGGGTGTTTGTACTACACTCACAACTGGTTCATAAGGGTACAAAATGTTACGAGTACTTTTTCCCACAGCTGGACTTAACAAGCATATGGAGGTGATGTTTTAAAGATTTTTTTTAGTGATAAGACATCAGTTTTCAAGCTGATGGATTTTTCTAAAGCTGATTACACTTTATTTGAACTAAATCTGAGTCCAATTTTTGCAACATTTGTGTTCTGTTTCCCTCCACATACGCACAAAATTCCCATTAACCTAGATAGGAGCTGCAAACACATATTGAGGAAGAGAGAGAATAGCCCACATTGTGTCAGCCTGACCTTTGTTTCCTGTTATATTTGCTCCTGAGCCAGAATTAAAATCCTAAAAATATAGGGTAAGCAAATTTCCTTAGCCCTCATTGTGCACCTTTTGATGCCTGCTCATATGGCTGATGTCTACCTTAAAATGGGGGCGCTCAATCTTCTGGCCGTTTTGTTCCTGCTCTGAAAAGGAGATCTCAAATTTGGTCAGCTAGAAGCACAGCCCGTGGGAGGCTTTTTCTATCACATACCTGTTTGTGAAGCATTAGGTTAGCTAGTGTTTCAAGTTGTTTTTCAGGCACAATCCAGTAGTCACATTTTGGAATAAAAACCTCATAACACTACTTTTTATTCCTGTCCCTTTGATCCATAACTGTGCAAAACATTAATAGATTGAGTTCCACTGACTGGCTACTTAAAATAAATATATATATTTATATATAAAAAACCCAAATTCATCTGTTAACAGTGGAATAATATACAATCACATATCTCACATATTTTAAGAGTAATCTAAATTCCCCAGATGCTTATAAATTAACGTAGGCTTGCTTTGCTTTTTTTTTTTTTGTGTGGTGTATTGAGGGGGTTGCAAGTAAGTGGTGTAGCATGTATCAAATTAAACATGGGAATGAGATCTAGAGCCAACATCTGCTTAAATGCCACAATGCACTGTGACTTTAACTTTTGAATATACAGAAAACGCCCTAAGTTCTCATGACTTTTTTATAACATAACGCTTTAAGTTAGTACTTTTCCCACCACCCAGCGCTGTGCGAGTTGCAGCCCTGCAACCATACTGCCATGCTGTGTGCCCGCTGAGTCTGGAATGGTGTGGAGTTTGGTCGTCTTCTGGTTGAAAGGCAAATTCCATATGGAAGGAGATTTTCTACTCTTCTGGAACCCCTGCCCGTTCAGCCTAAGGGAACAAAGTGCCGGCAGAGCTGTAAATTGGGCTTTGAAACATAGTTTTAAACTCCGCGCAGTTAAATATTTGCAGGACAAGGACTTGAATTAAAGTATCGTTTCAATTTCTGTGCTTGGAATGGTACCTCTGTCCTTCCCGTAAGAAACAAAGTAATACAATGCAATATTTACTTTATATGTAGTATAAAGTTATGGTTGTAGGTTAGAAATAAGTGATTTTTTTTTCTCCAAAAGTTAAATGAATGAAATAACATTATGAGGTATCTTAGATTAGGGATGACCTTCTGTCTCTTCTTTGAAACACAATTTTGCAAGCACGTGCTAGTTACACTGGATCAGTTGTGCTAGTGAAGTGTTTTTACTTGCTCTTTTTCTGTTTGTATATTAGCGCCTGGAGTGCGGATCTATTCTTCCAAATTGTATTTTAAAAAATATTTTTTTTGTCTGAAGTTAGGACTAAACGTTTCAATGTGTGCAAACCTAGTGCACGGTTTGCCCCTAACATTTTTTATAGCTGACATGGTAAAGTCCGAGTACGGACAGGCACTCCCAGTAGATGGCACTAAGCATATGCTGTTTTGCACGCCTAGCGCTATATGAAAAGCTTCCCATTTAGGAATCATTCATACAAAAAGTACACCCTGAGACCTTATGAACAATTTACAAGTATTTTAAGAAAAGCATGAGCACTGAGAAAAATCATGTCAATCTGTGCTCGTACGCAAACTACCTTCACATTGGTTCAAGGTTTATTCATTTCCAGTAATGGTTACAGCTCCAGTGTGTCTGTTGTGTGATGTAGAAGTGTCACTCCTCTAGCCCACTTTATTAGAATTGAATGCTCAAAATTTCTTTGGAAATGTAGGATGAAGTCAGCACCTGCCAGGATTTTGTTCACAGAAATCAAATCTTTGGAAAAAACACCCAAAACCACAACAACCACCCCCCCCCTCCAAAAAAAAAAAAAAATTAATGTAAAAACTACTTCAGCTGCTTTAGTGCATACCAGCAAGTAACTGATACAAGTAATGATTATACAGATTCCATGTACATATGTTTTCTGTAGCAGACCACCAAGCTATAAAGTAAAAAGTTAGCTTACTTTGCTTTGCTGTGTCTTTTAATTATTATGGGTTCTCATTTCTTAAAAAAAATCCTTTATTTCTTTAACACTTTGAATGTTGTGCTGCTTACATCACATTTTTTGCATGAGATAATTTGGCTTTTCCTCTCTGGTAGATCAAAGAAAATTATGGTGCTTGTAAAATTAAGTAAAAGTAATGATGAAGAAATTACAGGAGTAGACTTAGTATTTTTTCTGTATGAAATAATAAAGTCCTAGACAATATTAAATTGTTGTGAAGTGTTTAATTACTAAAATAACTACTAGTAGAAAACCATACTTTTCTAGGATTAGATGAAATTACAATACATCTGTATGAAGATGGTGCTGGGCATATGGTGTAAGTCTTTATTAAGTAAATGTCTATTGTGTAGTTTCTCATAAGTTGTTTTACTAAATCTTTGTTAATTCCAAGTTTCAGTATAATGTCTTTCCATAAAATTGAAATAAATAGGGGACAAAATTACTGACGCTCAAAAATTTTTAGTAGTAATCTCAGAAAGGATTACTTTTTGGAGCAGATCTTGCAAACAGTTACATGAGTTGTTCATATGGATTTGTCCCTCTGAACTCTCAAACTGCGCATGTCAGTGAAATTACCTGTGTGCTTAGTGTTTGCCAGATCTGGGTTTAACAATGAAGAGTCTAGAAAAGACTCGTGTTCAAAGTATGGTAGGTACTGTCAAACTTTGTGTAACTTAAGTATGTCTAAATGTTTCATATTGTATGTTTATATGTTCATTTCCATAATGTATGTTACAACTTTCCCATAGCTTTCCATAATGTGTATCGCCGAAGATGTACTATTACAGATGTCTCTTCACGTGGTCTGAAAGAAAATAAAAGTAAGACTGATATGTTGTATAGCAAAAACCACCAGTATGGCTATGGTTAAATGCCTGTCAATGTTTTCATTATAAATCCCTGTTTTCTGGGGTTTATATCTTGAACGTAAAAATTTGCTCTGGGTTTAAATATGTCATACAAGGTCTCAGCTGGATGTATGTGTTCCTCAGAACTGGTTGGGGGGCAAAAATTAAAACTCATTTCTATGAAGCTAAATTAAAAAAAGAAGCAAATAATGATTTGGAAGAAAAATAGATTTTTAAACTTAAAATATGGTCTTACAAATTACCTAGTTTACTACCTCCCAGCAGTTATGAGGAATTGGATAAATGCTTGAAAAGAGTCTTGAAAGCAAGCAGTATATGAGCACAATAGTAAATAGCACATGAAGCTGTTCATGCGTCATTATTATATAAATGTCTGCGTGTATGTCTGCCTCCTAATAGACAGATGATAGTAGAATGCTGCATTATCATAATAGAGCATAACATTATCATATTTTTGGAATGGCTTGAAAATGGGTTTTAAAAATCACCTTTGTATAGTTGTCTTAACAGGAGTACATTTGATGCTGCATTTGCTTAAAAAATTATCCTGTATTGACAAATGTTTATTTTCTGCCATAGTATTCAGTCTAGAATATCTTATTTAATACAGTTTAGCGTGAAATGTATTTGTAGATACCTTATTGGGATTAACACTGTTATTGTGCCTGATGCTTGCAAAACTTGGGATCGTGAAGAAGACGAGAAACCCTTAGTTAATGTACCCTTTTTGTTTGCACCCTAGGGTTTGTATCCTATTTTGTCGCCCTTTTTAACTCCCTGTTCTGGCAGAGTTTTGCGCTCTCCCTCATCTGCTCGATAGACAGAAGGTGCTGGTCCCTGCCTTGCCTGGGTGGAGGCTCCGCAGTGGCACAGAGTA